GTGTACAAAGCCTCCCACCCAAGAAGCTGCCACCAGCCAGATGCAGACACGTTTGGTCACAATATTTGTGTAATGAAGTGGCTTGCATATAGCAGTGCAACGGTCATAGGCCATCACTGTGAGAAGGAAGATTTCAGTGCACCTGAAGAAATGGCCCCCAAACAGTTGAGCTGTGCAGCCCACAAAAGAGATGGTCTTCTTCTCAAGAAGAAGGTCATAAATGAATTTGGGAGCTATGACAGTAGAGTAACTGATGTCCACAAAAGACAAGTGGCTCAGGAAGACGTACATGGGAGAGCTCAGCTGTTCACTTGTTTTTATAGTAATAATGATAAGCAGGTTTCCAAGAATGATAGTGACATAGAAGGTTAAGAATAACAAGAAGCAAACTTTTGCAACTCTCTTGTCTTGTGTCAGTCCATGGAGGATGAACTCTGTCACGTTGTTTTCTTTCTCCATAGGTACCATGTAGACAGGACCTGAAGCACAGAAAAGACCAGCTATGGCATTAGATATGGGACATTATCACACATACACACTGATCACTGCTATGTTCAATATGTTTAATGTTCCTCCTTTGCTGTCTTTTTGGGACAGTTTCCATTTTTTTATCCATGCTTTTCTCAAGGAATAACAGTCGATATCCAAATCAGAAGGTATTATTGACATATATAATAATAATATATATAACACAATATGATAATATATAACAAACTCAGGTTATCTGTTTGAGAAGAGTGGTAGAAATAACACCCTCAAGTTCTCACCTTTGCCTCTTTTAAAACAGAAGACTAATTACAAAGTCCCCTGAAGACTCACTTTATCCCTATAATGGTGATTTAGTAATAAAAGTTGACTGAAGGAGACAGTGTGGCTCTAATTCCAGTCTCAACACGTTGATCATGGCCTGAAGAAGGTCCTTGCACAGTGACTGTACTTTCCTTTTCAGTCCTCTAAAGGATTGCAACAGAACTACTCCTTACTATCCCCTATGTGATAGACCTGGATAAGTTCAGTCACAGAAAGAACTGGCCAGTGTTTTCTTAAACCACCTTTCTTACAGCACATGAATTGACTAATTGGAGCTAATTTACATTAATGGCACATTAGGAGGGGCTCCTATACCTCACCCAAGCCCGGGACTTAGTGTGGAATATCTCATAAAGACACCTACAGTGATACCAGGGTAATGAATGTATTGCTGGTGACCTTGCTTTACTGACAAACACCCATAAATCCACCTCTGTGGCATTCCCATGGACACAAGTATCATTAGTTCAATGTATATATGAAGACAGAGGTGGTAAATGTGTAATAACCTTGACTGTGATACCATCAAGCCCTTTGGAGTCTGACTTCTATTTGACAACCACATAACGCTCAGCTCTTTCTTTCTCCTGAGCTCTCTGCCTCACCTCCCAGCTATTGCCCAACTAGGGAAGCAAAGGGAAGGCTCTTCAGTGTCTCCATCCCTATTTCCATGCCTCTCCATGGGAAAGAATTGTGGAGAAGGCCAAAGTGTGCATGTCATGACCGTGTGTGACATGTCCAACTCAGGCAAAGTAAGACTGAGCACATAGGAAATGTCCATCAGCATCCATCCGAGCCCTCTCTGTAACACTGACAACATCTTTTCCACAGATTTTGCTGGAAAGAACATATAAGTGGGGGGAAAAGCAAGTAAAACATCAACTAAAACAAAAGCTGAAAAATATATAATTGAGTGTTTTCTAATTCATAAAATGGACCACACACAATTCACTATTTGCATAGGCGGGATTTCAGTCACTCTTGAACAGAACAAAGGAATGATACTTACACAGTTCATATTTGCAGTCTCTGAGCATTCACTTGCTATTGCTCCTCTGATGACCTCGTCTGACCACTTTTAGGTGGCTTCATCAGCATGTCTCAGCTGCAAGTTGTGGCTGCTGGTTCTGAAACCTAGAATGGCTGAAAGAGCAGCCTGGCTATCTGCATTTCTCATTCTGCAAAAAACCCCACAACATCCAAGAGCATCTACAAAAACAATTGTCTCTCACCAGATGGGGAAATGGTAGCAGATATATTTAAAGTAAATCACACAGCAGAGGCATGAGACTATCAAGAGTAATGAGATCCCAGAGGCATACGAAGCTTTGTCAGAAATCATCAGTGGACAAGGAGCTAAGACTTGTTCTTTAGGTATCTCTTAGGGTCATCTCTTGAGAGTGGTGTTAGAGTGTGGTCACCTCAACTCTTACATTGCACATGGGTTTGCTTGCTTGCTTCTTTGTTTGCTGAATGGCTTTTCAATGCTGTCCAGATAAATAAGCTTTATTTACTAGTGGATATGTATTTGCTCTGGAAGCATTTCTGGTTCAAATAACCATCACATCTGACCATTTGCAAGCTTTATTGTCCACTGCCATACAAAGACAGGCTGAAAAAGCTGGGGAACAGCCTGGAGAAGAGAAGCTGCTTGGAGACCTCAGAGCAGCTTCCAGTGTCTGAAGGGGGCTACAAGGATGCTGGGGAGGGACTCTTCATCAGGGACTGTAGCAATAGGACAACGGGTGGTGGGTTAAGACTGAAACAGGGGAAGTTCAGGTTAGAGATAAGGAAGAAGTTTTTTACTGTGAGGGTGCTGAGGCGCTGGCACAGGGTGCCCAGAGAAGCTGTGCCTGCCCCATCCCTGGCAGTGCTCAAGGACACAGGGGCTTGGAGCAAGCTGTTCCTGTGGAAGGTCTCCCTGCCCATAGCAGGAGGGTTGGAGCTAGATGATCTTAAGGTCCTTTCTAACCCTAACTGTTCTATGATTCTATGATTTATATTCACCTTACCTTTGCAACCAAATATTCTTGGCATAAAAATGTCCCTCACAGAGGCCATTTACGTGAATTCTGCTTTCTGTCCTAAGCTAACATATTTCATACACATTCTCATTTCTTCTTAACTTCTTACCATTGCATGTTGCCAACACAAAACAATATCACAACTGTGCTACAGACTTCATTTCTTAGGCTGCTGCTGTACAAATTTGAAACAAGAAGTACAACAGGAAATTACTTCAAACATTTAGAAAGGTTTGTGGTTAGTCCTCACTGAAGGTGTTCTTACTGATACAATGCAAAACACAGAAGCAACTCTTTAGCCTAAGTAATAAGTTCTCATAAGAATTCATACCAAGAGGAGCTTAATGTTTTCAGTGGCACTTTCCGTAAGCTACAGTCAAATATTTGCCCAGCAGTATCCAGAAATGAGAACTCCAGAAGAAAACAACTTGTGTTCATCTCTAAAGCATTAAAAAATAATCTGTTTTCAGTATATAAGTGTATATATATATATAATTTTGATTTTAAAACCCCCAACTGGTGTTATCTCCAAAGCATTAACACAATAATCTATTATATATATACACATACCTATATAATTTTATTGATATATACAAAAAGTTGTAAGCCCTAACTTGGGCTTCAGAACACTTGAGACACTGAATCCTACTTAAGTCATGTTAATGTGTAACACAGGTGCTGCAGAAAATCTATGGATCCAGTCAGAGATCAATATGATCAGACAAAAGCCATTTATTACAAAGCCTTAACTCCTTATATACTATTTTTTACATGCACTTTCAGTGATTTGGCATATTATGATTGGATACGTGTCTTGAAGACCCTTAGTGACTAACATGTAATTGGTTAAGCACAGGTATGAGAACTTGACCTCAAAAGCTTGCCAACAGTCCACAGTTCTCATTAACTCAGTGAATTCCAGCTTCTTCTTATCTTGCTTGCTTAAGCTTCCTTGGGCCTCTCACGGCCTTGCTGTATCTTTCAGGATTATTCAGAGTTTATGGACCAATTATCCATTCTCCTGTGAGAACACCGTCTCCACTCACAGGTGATGTTGATAGGGAATGAAAGTGAAGGAATCAAAGTGTGTCAGTTACTTCTGAATGGCATGAAGCAGGCCTTTCCCTTCCTCACTCAGCTGATTTGGCAGTTTTCTGCTGTTAAGGTAAGGGCTAGGGTCTCTTGTCTCATTATGAATCCTCACATGGAGACCCTGAGCTGCTATGGCTTGTCACCCTGTGACAGCTTTGCCTGGTTTGGTCTTTCATCCTGATGATTCTCTTCCCTCCTGAAGTAGGAGTATACCAGCTCTTTCCCATGGCAAACACACTCTTCCCTTGTGTGGATGTGTAAATGTGCTTTGTTGGGCTTGGAGTTGTATACTGGAATAGTTCTTAAACAATTCTTTTCCTTCTTCCATTGATATATGGAATTGTGTCTCCAAATGCCATGTTTGGTCCTTCATTTCTTACAGTCAGCAAGATGTCCTTCATTGAATCAGTGATTCTGTATTAGAATCATAGCATGGTGAGGTTTGGAAAGGACCTTAAGATCAACATTAAAACACCCGAGTCAGAACCGAAGGGTAGAGAGGGTGGTTGGAAGGATGGCATCAGTGATAAGGTGTAGTAGATAGAATCATAGAGCAGTTTGTGTTAGAAGGACCCTTTGAAGATCTTCTAGTCCAATCCCCCTGCCACGGGCAGGGACATCTTCAACTAAACCAGGTTGCTCAAAGCCCTGTCCAACCTGGCCTTGAACACTGCAGAAAGCATTTGTTGCACTAGCAGGGGAAGGGGAGAAGCTTCCTCTCCTGTTGCCTGCATCAGCAGATGACTCAGCTAGCACCTAATACCAGGTTTTTACTTGCCAATGTATGATTTCAAGATATACAATGTAGTTCTCATAAAAAAGCATTACTGCAAGCAGAAAGGGGACTCGGTTTCCAGCATCAGTTGGCCATGGTCCTCTCCTTCCCAGCTGAATAGATTACACAGCAGATGAAGTCCATGCTGAAGTTTATTGCTGAGTAATGGGATGCTCTACCTGGATGCCATTTTCAGTGGTTTAGATGGTAATGATTTAAACACTGGTGTTTTGGTTAGTGTTCAGAAGCACCAGGCCTGCCCCTGCCCAGCTGACAAGAGAGAGAAATGGAGTGCCTGCTCATCACAGAGTTCACAATGTCCTTCAAATCAAAAGATGAACCTTCACTGTCTTCCAACCTGGTATTCTAGTCTATGATTCCTAATTACAACAGGAGCTAACAGCAAGATTTTCCTCGAAAGGCAGTTTCTGGGGAATTTCCATGACAGGTATTTCCTTTGGGAATGTTATTGCAGTTCTACACCTTCCCATTTTCACTTCCCACTTTTCTACTCCACAGTTTTCTCATGGCACTCTTCACCTCCTCGTTTCTTAGCGTGTAGATGAGTGGGTTCAACATGGGGGCAATGGCGGTGTAAAACACTGCTATGCTCTTGTCCTCCAGCAGATTGCTGGATGGACATATGTAGATGAATGTGCATGGCCCGAAGAACAGAATCACCACAGTGATGTGGGACCCACAGGTGGAGAGGGCCATCTGCCACCCTATCCTTTTCAGGGAAACCACGATGACAACATAGGACATGACCAGGATGAAGAAACTGCTCAGAGTTATCATTCCACTGTTGGCCACAATAGCAATGCCCGTAGCATAGGTGTCCGTACAAGCCAGTTGTAGTAATGGGTGGATATCACAGAAGTAGTGGTCTATTTTGTTAGAGCCACAGAAGGGGAGCTGGGTGGTTAGAAGAGTCTGCACTATGGAGTGCATGAAGCCTCCTACCCATGAGCCGATCACCATCCGGCCACACACCTGCCTGGTCATGAGAGTGGTGTAATGGAGAGGTCTGCAGATGGCAAGGTAACGATCGTGGGCCATCACTGTGAGGATGAAGATCTCTGTGCAGCCAAAGAAATGTACCGCAAACAGCTGGGCTATGCAGCCTACAAAGGAGATGGTTTTATTTCCAACAAGGAAGTCAGCAAGCATTCTGGGAGCTGTGACAGAGTAGCAGATGTCTACAAAGGACAGGTAGCAGAGGAAGAAATACACGGGGGAGCTCAGAGGCTGACTGCTGGTTACCGTGATAATAATGAGCAGATTTCCTGCCACAGTAATCATATAGAAGAAGAGAAATAACACAAAACATATCTTCTGCACCCCTGGATCTTCTGAGAGACCCAGAAGAATGAATTCCTTCACACTACTTGCATTTTATAGAATCATAGAATAGTTAGGGTTGGAAAGGACCGTAAGATCATCAAGTTCCAACCCCCTTGCCATGGGCAGGGACACCTAGCTCTAAACCATCTCACCCAAGGCCTCATCCAACCTGGCCTTGAACACCACCAGGGATGGAGCATTCACAACATCCCTGGACAACCCATTCCAGTGCCTCACCACCCTAACAGGAAAGAATTTCCTCCTTATATCCAATCTAAACTTCCCCTGTTTAAGTTTTAGCCCATTACCCCTTGTCCTACCACTACAGTCCCTAATGAAGAGTCCATGTTAATGTTAATGTTAATCAGTTGGGCAGCAAAATGCCTAGGCACAAGGAAACATAAAGACAAATGATCTGTCAGTTTTTCCATTATTAAAAATGAATTCCTTATCAGATGTACATACACACTAAGAAATATAAAGGGTTGGTAGTAAGTTTATGAAGTGAGGGGGTTTTGTTTGTTTTTTTCCCTTCCCCTATGTATTTAACTCTCCTTGCACAAGACTTCAGCCATGCCTGTTCCTACGCTGGGATGGGTGCACTCTAGGATATGTTCCTCTGTTCTGATCCTCCAGGATTTATGGCTGATGTGCTAAGGGTAAGACTACAGTGCTCACTAGAGGCTCTACAGGTGTTTAAAAGCATGTTTGCCCTCAGTGTATACCAAATCCGTAATAACAGTCTTTGTAACAATAGTGCCTTGAAGAAGTATTCTTTGGAACAATGATTTATATTTATTTATATGTATTTATTGAGTTGTGGTGAAACCAACCTACAGAGAAAAAAATATATATCTCTGGTGTACATTTTGAAACATGAATATGCAGCTTCATGGGCTGAACTGTGACTTCTGGGGAAATCAATAATAATGGCAAAACAAGCAAAGAGTGTCATATATGAAGATGACCTTTGCAGGTCCTTCCAATCCAAACTGTTCTATGATTCCATGACATGTGTTAGTATTTAGCTTGCTCTAAATCTCAGCAGTATTTCTTTAAGATAAGGGAAGAGTGAAAAGATCGTTTCAGAACTCATTGCAGCATCGTATGACTTTTGCTTTATACTGATTCGTGATACTCTCTGGGAGATATTCTGAAGAGTTAATTTCTGGTGAGTAAAACCAGTGTAGCTGGTGGTCAAAGCCTCTCTGCCCCTATTGAAGACTATAGCTATAGCTAAACTAAGGTCCTTTTCAGAACCCTTTCTTTTTCCACTGACTAAGAGGAGCCTAAGTAATTTAACATCACCAGGGTAAAGTTAACTTCAGGGAATAATCCTTTTTGCCGTCTGAAGGTAGGTCAGAGCTTTCATAATGCCATCCTCATTTCTTGTGTATGTGCTATGACTGAAGTACTTCTACATACTTCTACACCTCTACACTTTCTCTGTTCAGAAATTCCAGTGTGAATGTGGGGCTTCTTTGGTTTGGCCTGTTCCACTGATAGCCCCAGAGAAGTAAATGTCACTAGTAAATAATCTACATCTTTAAAAAGACTTGCTCCTTAACGTTACCAACTTGCCATTACGCACCCAAACATCAGAGTGGCTTTGGTCAGGGAAGCCTGGAAACCACTAGATTAAACACTTTACTCAGTTTAACCAAAAATAAGCATCTTTAATGTGAGGCATCCCTGCCCATGGAAGGCGGGTTGGTACTAGATGATCTTAAGGTCCTTTCCAACCCTAACTATTCTATGATTCTATGATTCTATCTCTTACAAGCAGATTCTCAGCTCTATGGGATTCATCCTGGTATCCAAACATCCCCAGTCAACTGCTATTAAAAATCACCTTTGCAAGTCCTGCCCAGTAAAAACACAAGCAGTGATCAGAGCAAATCCATGGATCAGATCCATGGAATGATTCAGCTAATACAAATTACATAGCCCCTATTTGAAACTATGGAAAAATACGAAACTCTTGTGAAGGCAAATACTTATCAAGCATCCACAGGAAACACTGAAATGGAGAAAAACCAGAATTGCTCTCAAACCCACAAAGTGAAGCCTAGAGAGGAAGTTGGGAAAGTTAGGGACTTTTCCTGTGCTTACATATGTGCTAACAAAGTAAAAGATAGTCAAGAAAGGAAGGTAAAATTTACATGGATAATTCTTTTTCTGGTATATCTCCAAGAAAAAAAACATCAATAAGAACAAAGAATGTGATACTGGTTTCTACCTCCATCCCTCCTCTTTTCACTTAGCACTGACACAGTTTTCCATAGAAAACAAAAGGACAAAATGGTTATGTATTTATGGCTATGTGGTAGCCAGTGGAAGAGAAACAGCTGGAATCTGTTTGGCCAGAGCAGCATGGGAAGCAAACCCCACCAGTTTCAGAGTCACATTCAAGCAATCAGTGGTTCAGAAAGGAGTGAGCAAGAGACAAATGATCAAGGAAAAGTACATTCCTGAATAACGGCAGATGCGAAATTGCTCAGGGAAAGATTGTTGTATAATTTTGAAAGGATCGTAAAGATACAACCTATTCCCAACAGACACTTTTACCGTGCATCCGTCCTGGTAAGGCCCCTGTCACCACCACCAAATTGCATTTTACAATGTAGAATCATAGAATCCCAGACTGGTTTCTGTTGGAAGGAACCTTAAAGCTCATCCAGCTCCAACCCCTTCCACCGGAGCAGCTTGCTCCAAGCCCCTGTGTCCAACCTGGCCTTGAGCACTGCCAGGGATGGGGCAGCCACAGCTTCTCTGGGCACCCTGTGCCAGCGCCTCAGCACCCTCACAGGGAAGAGCTTCTGCCTAAGAGCTCAGCTCAGTCTTCCCTCGGGCAGGTTCAAGCCATTCCCCTTGGCCTGTCCCTACAGGCCCTTGTCTAAAGCCCCTCTCCAGGTTACTTGTAACCCCTTCAGGTGCTGGAAGGCTGCAAAATACATTACAATATATTTCACAATATATTTCCTTATGTCATGTAGTCACCTGCATCCAAGCCAGACACATTCACTCTGTTTTCTCCCTTTGTGGGGCAGTTCATGACCAGCCTAAGGCATCTTCTGTAAGATGTGATGGAGGTGCCAATTTCTTTCTGCTGACGCTAAGAGGATGACTACAATGACTGGAAGTTGTGAATGCTCCATCCCTGGCAGTGTTCAAGGCCAGGTTGGCCAGAGCCTTGAGTGAGATGGTTTAGCGTGAGGTGTCCCTGCCCATGGAATGATCTTAAGGTCCTTTCCAACCCAAACTATTCTATGATTCTGTGTTTTACATCTAATAGTATTTTTTCAGGGGCAGACTAAAGGTATATGATATAATGCAATCAATTGCAAAACAAAAGAAATATCAAGAGAACTATTAACATTTCAAAAAGGAGGAGAAATGGCCAGCATTATTCCGTAAAATCTCAGGTGGTTAATAGGGAACAAAATGACAGAATAACCCATCCTGGGACTACAGAACCAGTTCTGTACCTGACTCCAGCCAAAGAAAGCCACAAACAGGTGATAACTTTAGTGCTAATTCCTTTTTGTATTTTCACATTTAGTCCAGAAGTGAAACAAAAGAGAAGGAAATCAGGAAAAGAAGAAAGGACACAAAAAGAAAGGATCCAGAGATCCTGGAAAACTTACCTCATCTGTGGCTGGAGATCAAACCTTTTGTGTAAGGGCTGTTTGATTTTATCTCCTCAACATCTGTCTTCCCCAGAAGGAATGTGTTAGAGCAAAGTGTCTTTAAAGAGCAGGGAATAGCTTCTGAAAAGCTCCCAACACTTGCTCAGGAAGAGCCTTTTGCTGTATAATTCCATCTAATTTAGGTTCTTGTTTTCCTGTACAAGTGTATCTTAGTGTTGTCTGCCCATGTAAGAGCTGCTCTGATGGGCTCTCTGGGTTGTGTGGCCTGACTTCTGTGCACTGAATGATGAATTCACAACCTGGCAGCAGAAGGAAGGCTGAGAAGACAATGCTTTAAGTAGCACTCTTTAACCCTCTCCAAGGAAATCTTTCACCTCAGGGGCTTTTGGGGCTGGAGGAGAGAGGCAGGGAGGCTTAATGAATTGAAGGCATCAAAGGAAGGGGTGAAGGAGGAGAGATTAGTTCCTGTTAGGTACAGTTGAGGCAAGCAAGTATCAGAGAAATAGCCACCAATCTGTGATAATGATATTATCAAGGCACTTCAGGATTTCTCCAGAAGAAAAGGCAGTCAATGGATTAACTGAATAGCTAAACCACATAAGCATGTGATGCGACTTAGTCTGGTCAGCCCTTTCCAGAGACTTTCATTAAGCCGTGCTTTATGGTTTTCCCAAATGTAGAGATCCATTAGATCCACTGCTATGGTTTGATAGCATAGAATCATGGTGTGGTTTCAGTTGGAAGGGACCTTAAAGCTCATCTAGTTCCAACCCCTGCCACGGGCAGGAACACCTTCCACTAGACCGGGTTGCTCCAAGCCCCATCCAACCTGGCCTTGAACACTGCCAGGGATGGGGCAGCCACAGCTTTGGGAGTAATAAACCAGTACTTTTAAATCTTTGTGTATTCCAAAAGGAAAACACAAATCTTGATATAAGAACAGAAAATCAGAGATATTTCAAGTAGTAAAGAGGGAGGAACCGTGCCGGGGGGTGGTGGCAAAGAGTTACCCATCACAGTTGTCTTTTTTAGGGCAGGTTAGGCACACTGTTCTCAGTATTAAGTTAAATTTTCACAGAGACAGAGATGGCCTGGATTACTTCTTGATAACCCTTAAAGTCCTACTTTGCATGAAATTTCACCACCGGTCTCCCAGTGAATAAAGCCTCTTGCAAGAACTTGCATGTTTTACAAAAGGTTAGCAAATTACAGAATCAGGAAAGAAAAAAAATCCTTCTTTTAGAAATGGGGAAACCAAAGGAGGAAGTTGCCTGTTTTATGTGTATGGAAGGCAAATGAGTTGAGTCTTTGTCACTCCAGGCTTTCCTATGGAAAGAAATAGATCTCTCCAGGAACTGATTAACCTGATCTACCTCAGACCTAATTTTAGGATAGGATTAGGTCTGAAATAGACATCTAGATTTTGAATATAATAACCTAGGGCAGACAAAGGCCACATCCAAACAGCTGCAATCAATGGCTCAAATTCCAAGTGGAATCCATCAATGAGTGGTGTCCATCAAGGGTCTGTACTGACACCAGCACTACTTAATATCTTTGCTATAAACAGTGGGATCAAGTGCACCAACAGCAAGTTTGCAGATGACACCAAGCTGAGTGGTGCAGCTGATATGTATGAGGGAAGAGATGGGATCCAGAGGGACCTGGACAGGCTTGAAGAGTGGGCTCATGAGAACCTCATGGAGTTCAGCAAGGCCAAGATGCAATCCCTACTATGATTACAGACTGGGAGATGAAATGAAAGAACCTAAAGATGAACCATCAGGTATCTGGTCTGCAAAGCTGTTTTGGGCCAGATCTGCCAGTTTCTCTACCCACAGACACATGTGGCAGCAATTTGGCTGGCATCCTACTCCTCTCCTTTTGTTTCCCTAGCCAAACAGACTAGCAGAAGTGACTTAATGCACAAGCCCAAATCAGTAGTTGCTGGTATCTCCTGCTGCAAATCAGTTCCTATAAGGATGTGCATACTGGCAGGAAAAGAGAAATGTTTCTGTTTTCACTCATTTCATTCAGCACGTGGATCTGAGACCAGGATAGTGGAAGCTCATCACATGGAGGGCCTGTGCATGGTGAGAAGACAAATGAGGTGGTGTGGATGAGTGGTGAATGCTGGCAAGGGGTTGTTTTGATAGAGATATGAGGTGGTGATGAGGCATGAGTTTGTGTGGACCCTGCTCCAGGAAGGGTTGTGTGAAGCAATAGGGACTAAGTAAAGTGATAACTTGCACGGGGAGAGGCTGTGGGTTAGATAAGGACACTGCCCCTGTGTGTTAAGGCCTGTTCAGCAGGGCCAATAGGCCCTTGGGGAATGAGAAGTTGTGCTGAGGCAGGGTATAATTTTGTACAGACCGTTCTTGCTTTCTTTGCATTGTGAGACTGGCTGAAGAAGGGAGAAGTAGTAAAAAGAAAACACATTTCCAGAGCCACGACGCTGACAGGTTCTGTACGAAGAGGGAAGTGGCTCATGTCTAAGTGACCACACACCCCAAACTAGACATTTCCCCAGGAGAGTGATTGGCTGGCTGTCAGATGTCAGGTTGTAAAGACTGTGGCTTTTTAAACAGTTTCTAACTCTCCCAGCACTCGTGCGACACAAGGACTTTATCTGGACCAGAAGTGACAGAATTCAAGTGAAAATTTCACCGAGCAGACCCACACCAGACAGCTGCTGCAGATCAGTCACTGAGATTCCAAGGAACACACAAAAAGGTGAGAAATTCCTAGATGGCATCTTTGCCACTGCACTCTGTCTGATGCTTTCTGTTGTGCTTTTGGAGTGATGGCGAGGGAAAGGAAGGAAGGAAGGAAGAAATGAAAGAAAAGGAGGAAAGGCGATCAAACATTTTCTTCTGGTTGCAAATTTGCTGTAGGTAAGAAATGGTCTTAATCATATTGAAGGTAACCAGAGCTTCATTCTGGAGACCTTTTTCCATGAACAAGTGCTATTGAATTGCTCTAAATACACCTCTGTAATAGATGTCATTATTCAGAAACCTAGATTAGCAGGTTTGGTCTTAGATGGTGACTTAAAATTGGCTAAGAAAATACAAAACAAAACCAAAACCAAAACTTTCTGTCCATTGTCTAAAATGTGTTTGTGGTGTTATGGCTGTTCAGCCTGACATCTGCTACAAGAACATGGTACTCAGCAAGCAAATCACAGCAAAGATGTTTCATATTAAGAGAGAGAAGAACCACTTAGACTCAGCCTGCTGCTGTTTGATGCTAACTTTCACTCATTAGTTTCATCAAGGAAGTAGGCTCAATGTCTTGAATTTGTGTTAGAGACAAGAAGAAATGAGGGTGTCCACTAGTGGCAGTCTTTATGTAAGTGTGATCGATGGCACAACCATTTCTTTTAACATTAGGAAATATACTTGATGAGCTTGTTATCCAGTTAGATTTGTCATTCCCTGAATGCTCAGTGGAGAGATATGCTGCTGGAGGACAGGTCTAACAGCCTTCTGGAGCTCACAGTAGCTGCAGTCCTCAAATGGGGACCACATCAGAAAGCTGGAGTGGGCTTAGAGCTTAAGTGACACTCAAATGTTCATGTCCTCTTCAAACCAATTGTGAATTTGTTTCAGGTTACACCAATAGCTTGTGGCAGAGAGAGCTGCACTAGGGCTTCCGGAAGCCAGGAAACCACTTAAACACTGGGTCTTCCTTTCTTCTCACAGCATCAAGTTCTGCTAATCTGCTGCCACCCCAAAAGCAGGGAGCAAGGAAGTGAACAAAGTCAGAAGGATGTACCTTTCCAATCTGCTTGCTGCAGATATGCAGTTAAGAGGTAGCCTTGCAGAGATGTTGGTCAGGCAGCATGCTGCTCTCCCCAGATAAGGAAAGAGAAGATGAGTTTGAACTCAGGGATGTTCCTGTCATGAAACCGTACTACAGCAGACATTCTGTCCATGCTGAAGGAGATGGTGGTGTTTGTTTTCCATAGTCCCTTTCCATATGTATTAAATTCACTGAATTTAATCATCTGAGTCACAAATTGGTTTGGGTTGGAAGGGACCTTAAAGCTCATCCAGTTCCAATCCACTGCCATGGGCAGGGGCACCTTCCACTAGAGCAGGCTGCTCCGAGCCCCATCCAGCCTGGCCTTGAACACTGCCAGGGATAGGGCATTTACCAGTTCTTTGATTCAATCTGTCATATTTTGCGTGCTTATGGGAGTCTGTCTCCATCTATACCACAGCATTTAACGAAAACAGAACAGCCTGTTCATGCTGGTTGGACTGCTCAATGACTCACATCTTCCCAGCTCTCCCCATTTTGTCTTGTTCCTCTCTTCTTTTTAACTATCTCCTGCTGACGCTTATAATACTTCTTTACCTTCCCATGTCAAAACTAACAGCTGATGAGGAGAGAGGAAAACAACCACAGTGTTTGACCTCAGAGAAAAAAAGGTGTGAAACCTTTCTTTCAACCTGTTTATTCAAGATTCTCTTTCATATCCCAGTATCATACAGGAAGAAGCAGGGTGAACCACGCCAGGGAATGAGGTGAAATAATTGAGCCATAATTCCAATGACCTGACCCCAATGAGGGGCATTTTGTCCCACATGCAGTTCTTAAAGCTTTCCTCTGAAAATGAAGTTATTAAGGGCTGACTCCTCAGATTGAATTACTTATTTTCTGTATATAGGGCTCAAGAGAACAAACCAACCACATTAAACTACACTCATTTGACTAGAAATCAATCACTGACATAAAAACCTACAAGCTATTTTGAGTACTCCCTACCATGTTTTCTGGGCATGAAGAAAACTCAATCAGATTTCATGCTGATTAAACTTGTATGCTGATTGCCTACAACTTTCACACCCTTTTGACAAGATTTCTCACCTAATCTTAGCGACAGGAAGCAAAGACAGCTATTCCATTGTTGTTAACACTGGATTGGCTCTTTTCATTCACACAAGAGGTCCTTTTCAGACATGATTCATCTCAGCTGTAATTGCCTTTTTAAGCTATTTGTTTCCCAGGACTGACTGCAAAAAGGGCCCTCAGGAAATGAGTTTTAAGAAGGGACAAACGGTGTAGTTTAACTTTTCCTACATGTCATATAGAATTTGGGCTCAATGCTTTGAACAGTGCGTTAGAGCTCTGTGTTCCAAGTCCAAACACAGCAATCCCTCCCTAAATCAAGCTCTGGCGACAAAGAGATGAATCAAATCTGGAAACACCATCAGGACACCATGAGGGAAATCACACCAGAGTTACCACCTCTCTCCTCCCTGCTTACAGGTCTGTCTGAAATCCCTCATCATGAGTACTTCAACCATGTCAATCTTCCTTCCAACTGCAAGCAGCCAAGTTCATGGGACTAATCAGAGTGCGGCTGTGGGAAAGACAGAGCCATCCTATGCTGTCCTCAAGTTCATGGAGAGCTTCTGCCTCATCAGTGCTGCCTGTGGCATGGTGGGAAATGGCATGGTGCTATGGTACCTTGGCTTCCGCATCAGGAGAAACCACTTCACAGTCTACATCCTGAACCTGGCCGCTGCCGACTTTGGGTACCTCCTCTGCATTGCCATAGAGACGGTTCAGTACCTGATGCAGTTCAACGTGGGGGTGCAGTTTGGGATATTCCTCTTCCTGGATCTTTTCATGTATGGGACCGGCTTGTACCTCCTGACCACCATCAGTATTGAGAGGTGCCTCTCTGTGCTTTGTCCCATCTGGTGCAGAAGTCACCGCCCAAAGCACTTGTCTGCCATCATCTCTGGCCTGCTCTGGGGTATCTCCCTGCTGCTGAACACTCTTGGGTATGTTTTGTGTTCCGTGCATCGCTCTGCTGGGACCTGCCAGATCCTGCTCATCACCATTGGAGCCTTGGACTTCATCTTCTGCACACCCCTCATGCTGCTCTTCAGCCTTACCCTCTTCCTTAGAGTCAAGTGCAGCTCCCAACACCTCCGAACGGGCAGGCTCTTCACCGTCATCATGCTCACTGTTCTCTTCTTCCTCATTTTTGCTGTGCCTTTGAGTACCCTGATCCTCTTTGACTTCTTGGGCTACAAATTTCTCTACTCCCCAGAGATCGGTTTTGTGCTGTCCTGTGTGAACAGCACCCTCAACCCTGTCATTTACTTCCTGGTGGGAAGCTACAGGGATCGGAGAATCAAGTTTACCCTCAGGCTGGCATTCCAGAGGGCCTTTGAAGATTCAGCAGATGACAAAGATGAGCGGGAAACCCATGACACAATCACTATGTCTTCCTAAACCCATCCTGTGTATAACAGCAGCACTGGTCTGGAGCTGAGGGCTGGTAGTTTAACGAACTGAAGATCTCTGAGATATTGGGGTAGGTTTATCTCACATGACCTCCAGTATCTTCATTGTAGATCTCCAGCCTTTAGCTAGTTATTTTAAGCTCCATCAATGGTCAGTGGAAACACATAAACACCTGGACCACAGAAGTTACCTGACCTATGTTAGGACTACATTGAAAGTATCTATTTCTCTTCAGTGGCCATTGAAGGATTTCAGCTTGGTAAGGTAGGATATCTTGGTGTCTGCATTACATCAAAGGAATCCCACTCAGAATCTGCAGTTCACTTAATAAATCTCTGTCTTTCAGAGTAAAACAATATCAAACTCATAAATTTCAGTCACTTTTTACTCAGGTCTCTGAAAATGAGATAGGAACCAATCCTCCTCCTGTTGAAATCAGCCATGGAATTCCTGGAAGGACTCTATCTATCTCACTTCATGTTAAATGCCTGTATCTTAGCCACACATGTAATTTTCTGCAGCTCATAGGGTGCACAATTCTTTGCTCTCTCAAGCTTATTTCAAATGGTGAAATGATTAATGCCCTGGAAGTTCATTTCTTCTATTAGCAAGGGAAGTTTCCATACCATGGAGTTGTGATGCAGTAGGAAAGGGCCCCAGCCCCTACCAACTTGCCTTAAAACTTTATGCACTGAATTACATTCTCCCTTTTCTTGTGTTTCAAAGAAATACAGGGCTGGAGTTGCATATTACTTTACCTTCCTCCAGCCCAAGAGTATCTTCATCTAACTACAGCACGCGTTGGGTTGTTATTCCTTCCTTTAAGAAGGACTGATAAGAACCCATGGCTTCTAACATCCCCTTTACTGACAGAATTAAAATCAAGGGTAGGGAAAAAAATAAGAAACAGAAAAAAGGTATATGAACACCACAGTTTGCAACAAATTATTCTCTAGACCCTTGAAATGCAATGTGTGATTATTTGAAGTGTAGTACTATCAGACTACATAACATTAGCACTTTTAACAAGATTATATAGGAAAAGGCAACACAGGTCATTTTCTTTGAGAAACCCTCCAGATTTCCATTTCATACCTTCATTTGTGAATACTTTCCTAAAGGGAAGCTGCATTCTTCTGTTGTTATTATCTTTATCTTGTTGCTTTTTGCTTCCTGATTACAGTTCCTGAAAGCTGAAATTTGAGTTCCATTTCCACTATTCTTTAATGTTGTGCTCTTCTGCAATGTACATACAGTTGATCCAGATTAGGCCTGTGTCATCAATTATGTTTAGTAAGGTGGTTATTTTCCTTCTAACTTCTCCTGCTGAGGGGAAGAGAGTGTCCCTTTATCAGAAAACATGTTCTGAATGTTTTGTTTTGAATGTCTGTAATGATTTTATCACTGGGAGAACTGAATCTTTTCTGTTATTGTAAAAAATAATAAACCCCCTTTTTTTAAAGGGAAAACAATTTGCATTTAAAAATATTCTTGTGCTCAGAAGAAGCCATCAACTGATAAAAACATATAAACTGATAAAACATATAACCCTTTCCGTCCTGAGTTTGTCCTTAAACATACCCAACATGCAGCAGTTGATGTGAACACATTTTACACATCACATCAATGTGAACACTTTACTTCCAACCTTGGACCTTTAAAAGGTGATGCCTGCATAGAAATACCATCATAAACACCCTCAGTTGTCCATGGTGAAAGACTAGTGTTCTTGGGGGTGGCATCTGCCAGATACTTGCAGGGAAATGAATGAAGGGATGAGCTTCTGGGGCTGATGGTGGTGCAGAAGAGCTTCAGAAGCAGCTGAGGAAGGCACGCACCACACAGTCCTGCACAGTACAGGAGTCTCAGTGAGGCCTGACATCAAAAAGTGTTACCTGGTGCAGATTAGACTTTTCAGACCCTCTCTCATGGCAACTGCTTCAAATCCCTGTGGGTGTCCCATGAAGCCCTGGCCAGAAGAAATCTAGAGCATCTTTTCTGGAATCACAGAGGGGAGGCCCAAGGTGTTGGAGAACACAGGCAGGATTAGTTCTGGTCAAGGACATCCTCATTTCTGAATATACCTTTATGGCAGAATTCATTTCTCCTCATTTTTACTCCTTTCATGCACCTTCAAAAATCACTCACATAGAAACAAAGGGGGCCTTTCTCCCTTCTTCACACCCAGCTCAGGGAGCAGGGGAGGCTTTGGGTACATCTCAAACAATGTGACAGATCCCTGCATCCAGGAATTGAGCCAAGGAGAGAGATGGGCTCAGGCTGTTGCGTGGGCTCTTGGACATTCTACATGGCCTCTGCTATGCCATATTTAATCCTCAATATGCCACCTACTTTGTTTTTTCCCTAAGAGAACAGATGTCATCTAGGCTAGAATTAAAATGCTAATGTTATTTAAGATGTTAGAATTACCACAAACTTTAAAGTACAGGTACTATCATTTTACTTTTTCTATTCAGGTTAGTAAAGTACCACCACATCTCCCCTGGCATTGAACTAGACAGGAATTTGGAAGGTTTGGAAAACAAGGCAGAAAACTTGATGGCATCCAAAGAGAAAGCGTACCTTGGACAAGCAGATGAGCTAAGGACAGAAGTGAAGCAGTCATGGCAGGGAGAGGTGATTGTTTGTTATATCAAAATAATTAAACTTGGCAAATTTCAGGTTAAGCATATTCTGAGAACAGTCCCTCTGAACTCAACCTTGTGTCACCATTCAGTGAGGTGACTCCTCCACTGATCTCTGCAGGCGCTATCTCCTACCTTCAATCTTTGTTTTACTGTTCAGAGGGTCTCTACAGCAAAACAAACTCCTTGGAATTCTTGTGATATTCTTTATAGAATAGTAGATTAAACAAAAATGCTGCTATTGGCAGTAAGAAAAACCTCTGGGTGCAACATGTGGTAACCAGATAAAAATGTAACGGGTTTGATACATGCCCAAGGAGAATATCAGGCAGGAAGGCCATGACGAGAATATAGATCTCTCCCAGCTGAGACTGCTCTGGGTATGGTTTAGGTGTTAACAAAGAGGGGAAGATGGAAAAAAAATAGGAGCAAAAACAAATCAGGAGATCTGACCCTGACTGTTCTATGATTATGTGATTCTATGTGCTCATATCTATGTTCATGGTTAAAACTCATTGCTCCACACATTAGGCTATAGGCTCTGCTGTTGCTGGGCTCAACACTGGACCAAAGAGGGGAATTACTGATGCCAAAATACCAAATAACCTTACTGCTGGTGGGCGACTGCTGTTGCAGGTGAATTTCTAGCACTGTTGATTTCAGAGCTTTGAAATAAGACATGAAGTTGCCAATTCTATTAGCCTGCATGAGGGAGCAAGTGCACCATTAAGCACCAACAGGGTGTGTGCCTGAGGCTGGAAACCTCATCCTTTCAAAGATGATGAAGAAAAGAGAAATGGAAGGGTGCAAATCAACCCAAACAGAAAAAACGGCAAAGGTACCCAACGATAGGCACACAGCTCAAAAGGGATCATGGCCATGAACAAGGAGTGAACATAAGATGGCTCTGTATGACATAAGGTAAGGTGGAGGGGAAGGGTAAGAACAGATAGGAGAAGGAATGCATAAAATCATAAAATCACAGAATGATTTGGACTAGAAGGGACCTTAAAGCTCAGCCAGTTCCAGTAACCTGCCATGGGCAGAGAGACCTTCTACTACAGCACGTTTCTCATCCATGGACAGAGCTCCCAGAGGGCATCTCTCTCACAACTTCTTCAGGCAAAGAGTTCCCCCAAAGCACCACAACACTTGGCTGCTCAGCCACAAAACACACATGGGGTCAGGGCCATAAGGGTCTGTTCTGCTGACAGACAGGGTACGCCACAAAGTGACACACGCTAGCTGTATAATATGAAGAGTTTATTAAACAAGCACAATAAAGCCAATAAGCACACTAATGCAATGACACTAATGTGAATTAGGTAAATATCTCTCACTATATACAGAGAATAAGTGCAATAAAGCAAACCAGAGGTATACATATGTAAGTAAAGTACCGAAAAGTCTCTGGAATGCATCAAATTATGACTGTATAGAGACAGCAGAGATTAAGAAGAAATACATCAGCAATTACCACTGAATCATCAGCCAGTCCCACACTTCCAGCAGGGAAGCCCCCTTGCAGCTGATGCCAGGAGTCTCAGTAATTGGGAAATTCCTATGCAGTGCGTCCACCAGTAAGTGAGGCTTCTCCCATGGCCACAAGAGGGTCCTGCTTTTATACCCTTATCAAAACAACCTTTATACCAGGTTTATACCAGATCTCTGATTGTTTCCTCATGGGACTGTGCAGTTTCTCATGATCTCACCATTGTCCACACTGAGAGCGTTGGCCAGGCACCCCGGTGTGGCAAAGTATGAAGATCATAGAACAGCTGCACCCCTCTGTTTCCTGACTATTTCTGACAGTCACAATGAACATAGAAGTATGTACTCCACCGAATACACTGTGGCAAACAGCATCCTTTGTTATTTCTCTCAGTCATGAGAGGGAATCAACTCTCAGCTAGGTTCCCATCCATTACAGGGTCATTGCAAGAGAGACCTCACCTGGAGCATTGTGTGCAGTTCTGGTGTCCTCAACATAGACAGGACATGGAACTGTTGGAACAAGACCAGAGGAGGCCACGAGGATGCTCAGGGGCTGGAGCAGCTCCTGTATAGAGATAGGCTGAGAAAGTTGGGGCTGTTCAGCATGGAGAAGAGAAGGCTGCGTGGAGACCTCAGAGCAGCCTCCCAGTATCTGAAGGGGGCCTATAGGGATGCTGGGGAGGGACTCTTCATTAGGGACTGTAGTGATAGGACAAGGGGTAATGGCTTAAAACTGAAACAGGGGAAGTTTAGATTCAATATAAGGAAGAAGTTCTTTACTGTGAGGGTGGTGAGGCACTGGAATGGGTTGCTGAAGGAAGCTGTGAATGCTCCATCCCTGGCAGTGTTCAAGGCCAGGTTGGACGAGGCCTTGGGTGACATGGTTTAGAGTGAGGTGTCCCTGCCCATGGCAGGGGGGCTGGAACTGGATGATCTTAAGGTCCTTTCCAACCCTAACTATTCAATGATTCTATGATTCTACACCACAGATCCCCCCAGCACTCACCAGGAGTACTCCTTGGCTTGACCATCTTTGCAGACCCTTTGCCAGAGCCCTGCCTGGCTGGGACAAGAGACATGGCCAGAGCTCCCCCACGCCCCCTCTCACACCTTCCCCAGCCAAACAGTTCCCCCAGAGCACCACAACACTCGGCTGCTCAGCCAAAGCACACACAGTTTATTTGCTGGGGACAGGGCGATAAGGTTCTCTTCCGCTGACAGACAGGGTACACCACAAATTGACCACACGCTAGCTCTGTAGTATGTGGACTTTATTAAACAAGCCCACTAAAGCCAATAAGCACACTAATGCAATGACACTAATGTGAATTAGGTATATATCTCTCACTATATACAGAGAATAAGTACAATAAAGCAAATCAGAGGTATACATATGTAAGCAAAGTACTGAAGAAAGTCAGCAATGCATCACATCATAATTGTATACAGACAGCAGAGTTTAAGAAGAAATACATCACCAGTTAATACTGAATCATAATTCAGTCCCACACCTCCAGCTGGGAAGACACATGCAGCTGAGGCCAGGAGTCTCAGGTAATTGGGACAATTCCTCTGCAGTGCGTCCACCCATAGGTGAGGCTTCTCCCATGGCCACAAGTGGGTCCTGCTTTTATACCCATATCACAACAACCGGCTTTATACCAGATCTCTGATTGTTTCCTCATGGGACCATGCTGTTTCTCATGATCTCACCATTGTCCACACTGAGAGTGTTGACCAGGCCCTCCAGTGTGGCCAAGTATGAAGGTCATAGAACATCTACAAGCCTCTGTTTCCTACCTCTTTCTGACAAACAATCACAATGAACATAAACGTATGTACTCTACTGAACACAGTGTGGAAAAGAGCATCCTTTGTTATGTCTCTCAGTCATGAGAGAGAATCAATTCTCAGGTAGTTTCCCATCCATTACATGGTCATTGCAATGGGGAGCAGAGCTCAGGCCTCCCCCTCCCCAGCAGGGCCTTGGGCAGTGCTCTCCATGGGGATGCCCTCAGGCGCGGGGCTCTCCTCCTTGCTCCTCTCTTTCTCTTCAAACACTCTGCGCAGGGCGACTTGGATGGAGCCTCGGAAGCGGCGCTGCCGGCAGCTCCCCACCAGGAAGTAAATGACTGGGTTGATGCTGCTGTTCAGCAGAGCCAGCACCAGAGTCACCCTTTCATGAAATAGAAAACCGTAATATAAAAGCTTAAGGAAAGCATTTACGCTGAAAGGCATCCCAAAAGCGAAGAAGAAGATGACATTGAGCACAACAGCAACATAGAGTTTCCCCAGGCGCCGTCTCTGTGAGCCACATCGGAGCCTCATGACCATGGACACGTTGGAAATCAACATCGTTAGTGACAAAATCACAGAATACACAATGCCCACACTTGCAAAGAGTGTAACATACATTCCATCAAATTCTAAGCAAGTATAAATGGAAAAACTGAATGACCCAACACTGGCCCAGAGCACCCCACTGACGATGCCTGACAAGTGCTTAGGGCGGTGGCAGCGATACCAGATTGGGAAGATGACAGAGCCACAGCGCTCTGTGCTGATGGCTGTCAGGAGACCCAGGCTGCTAAGGACAAAGAAGTTGCACAGTATCCAAAGTGCATCTATAGAATTAATAAAGAAAGGAAAAAAAGAATCTAAATTATAACAAATTATTGTTAAGTTGAAATACCCCAATAAGAACAGAAAATACACGAGGAGCAGAGAGCAGTCAGCAACAGCCAGATTTAGGATGTAGATGGTGAAATGGTTCCGCTTCATCTGGAAGCCCAGAAACCACAAGACTATCCCATTCCCCACCATTCCAAAGACACAGATCCCCATACAGACAGATAAAAAAACCGTAAATCCGTGAGATGAAGGTACGCATGCATGTTCATCATTTCCTGCATTGCTCCAGTTCCCATCATGTGTGTAATTCAGAGAGAGGTCTGTTGTGTTGGTCTCCTCCATGGAGAATGACCCTGCTCCGGGCGGCCGCCTTCTCCCTCTGCCACCACCTCCTAGCAGACACAAGCAATGAGAAGGCAATGAGGGCCATCGGCGTTCCCCGCGCTCCCCATCTCTCCCCACAGCCCCATGCCAGCCCCAGGCTGCTCCAGGAAGGACCCGTCCCCTGCGTGCCCAGGACAGGCTCCCAGCCCTGCAGGCCTGGCCCTGCCCAGGAGCCATCTCCCACCTGCCCGTGCCCGCTCTCCTTCCTCCTGCTGCTCCTGCCAACAGCGCTGCTGCACGAGCTCCAGCACAGGGGCCTCCAGCCTGGGCAGCACAAAGCCTCTGGGGATGCTTCCGTGGCCACCCCGCTCTGCTCTGCCCTGTTCCTCGTGCCTGGGGAGCAGAGCTTTGCCCACAGATCACGGCCGTGCTCAGCAGACACCCCTCACAATCTGCCCACATCGCTGACAGCTTCCCTTCACATGGCCCATGGGCAGAGATCTTGTCAGTAGGAGCTGGGCACGTCACCCCTTCCTCTCCTCCGCACAGCTTTTCAGCGGGAGGGGCTGATCTGTTATGGTCCCATGGGAAAGGATCTCAGGTTCCATAGAACATCCTCTGAAACACCGGTTTATACACCCAGAACTCTCAAGAAGTGAGGGCATGGGTCAGATAATCTTGTGCCCGTTCAGGTGTTGGGAACCCAGGATCTTGCACCATCAAATATACAGATCCTGTCTATGGAATGTTATCCCATTCTGGTGTCTGAGCTGTTACAGGGGTTGCAGAAAGAAGAAGACAGCTCTTTCTACTGCCAAGCAAAAAGGATGCTCACGTGAGAACTGCTGCAGCAGTCTCAGATACAGGCAAGCACACGCGGTGTGAGCTGCCTGCAGGCTCCTCCCTTACCATCAGCCAAGAAGGTCTGCCCATGGCCAAGGCAGATGCACAGTGTGGCACAGGCCTGGGACTGCTCAGGCCGGGTGTTCTGTGGATCACTCACTCCCGGAGGAACTGACATGGGGAAAGCTGGGATTTTAACACAGGAGTGTACATAAACCGTTCCCAGGGATGGCCCCTGGCAGCAAGGTGAGAGTGGGAGACACGAGCCAGGGGCCACCAGTGCTGGCAGATCACTGAGGTGCAGACACGCAGCAGCATGAGGGCTCAGCTTGTTGTCTCTAATGACATAGAAACTGGTGCTCAAAGAGTTCTTCCATCTTTCTTCTGGGAGACATCACCAAGAGCTAAAGGCTTTGCTTTAATGTGCCAAGGCATGGAACATAATACCTGTGGGACATCTGAGGCTACAAAGCCATCGAAGAAATCAATAAAGGGAAATACCTCCACACTAGAGGAGGTGAAGAAACAAAAGCACATGCTGTCATTGTAGGACAACCAGGAGCTGACACGTTTTAGGCCCCGAAGAGTTGGGAACGGGGATAAAGGGACCTCATCTCATAAAGCATGACAGAACAGCAAACGGTCCATGTACAGCACTCTGATTCTCTCCCAGGGCCCTGAAGGCTACAGCACGCCTTCTTTGCTCTGACCCACTGATTGATCCCCTGCCCCTTGCTCCAGGCCTACACAACCAGGCTTTGCCTGGGCTAGGCAGGAGCTGTACCTGCCTGAAGCCCTCTCTCCATCCCCTCGCAGGGGTGAACCTTCAGCCTGTGCTCTAGCCCTGGTTCAAGTCTATCTCTAAGCCCTAACTCCTGCAGCTCCAGGCTGGAGCCCTGGAGAGACTGTGGACCTTGCTCATTACCATGTATTCATCACATGAAGTCAAAGGATACCCTTGGAGGTCTCCAGCCTTGGGGATGACAAGCACAGGCTCTGACTCCCTGAAAATGGTATTTAAATGCTGGAAAACACAGGAAAGATGGAGAAAAAATAAGCCATGCAAATGCCGCTCCCTGTGATGCTAAGGGATGAGATTGTGTGACAGGAACCCCTTGTAGATAAAAGCACATTTGCAGTGCTATGTACCCCACAACGTGTAATCTCAGAGGAGACACATGCACATCAGGGAGTGATTAGAGGCAGTGGGCAAAGCCCTCGTGATGTTCTGTGTCTGAGGAATGGTGATTTCTCATGGCAACTTGACACAAGGCCGTGCTCTGCCTCACTGTCTACTGCTAGGGGGTTCTCTTGGCATCCCATGTGCAGGATCAGGCCTGGGGGAGCAGAGGGAGGGATGGGCATGAGTGGGGATGATTCCGCACGTCCAGGAGGATGGGAAGAATCAGCAGTGTTGAAGCCATGAGAGTGTCAGGGACTTCTGAGGGGTTTCTGCTCCTTCACCCCCATTGTTGATGGTCCCTGGCTCATCCCGCTCATCCTCATCTTTCTGCCTTCCCCTTTCCCTGCCAAATCTCATCCCCACCATCCCCTTGCTGAAGGCACATAAGATTATCTGACCCATGCCCTCACTTCTTGAGAGTTCTGGGTGTATAAACCGGTGTTTCAGAGGATGTTCTATGGAACCTGAGATCCTTTCCCATGGGACCATAACAGATCAGCCCCTCCCGCTGAAAAGCTGTGCGGAGGAGAGGAAGGGGTGACGTGCCCAGCTCCTACTGACAAGATCTCTGCCCATGGGCCATGTGAGGGGAAGCTGTCAGCGATGTGGGCAGATTGTGAGGGGTGTCTGCTGAGCACGGCCGTGATCTGTGGGCAAAGCTCTGCTCCCCAGGCACGAGGAACAGGGCAGAGCAGAGCGGGGTGGCCACGGAAGCATCCCCAGAGGCTTTGTGCTGCCCAGGCTGGAGGCCCCTGTGCTGGAGCTCGTGCAGCAGCGCTGTTGGCAGGAGCAGCAGGAGGAAGGAGAGCGGGCACGGGCAGGTGGGAGATGGCTCCTGGGCAGGGCCAGGCCTGCAGGGCTGGGAGCCTGTCCTGGGCACGCAGGGGACGGGTCCTTCCTGGAGCAGCCTGGGGCTGGCGTGGGGCTGTGGGGAGAGATGGGGAGCGCGGGGAACGCCGATGGCCCTCATTGCCTTCTCATTGCTTGTGTCTGCTAGGAGGTGGTGGCAGAGGGAGAAGGCGGCCGCCCGGAGCAGGGTCATTCTCCATGGAGGAGACCAACACAACAGACCTCTCTCTGAATTACACACATGATGGGAACTGGAGCTACGAGTGGGATACTGAAAATAGATGTGGAGGTTCATTTGATGAATATATGGTCTTTTTCTTTGTCTGTATGGCAATCTGTGTCTTTGGAATGGTTGGGAATGGGATAGTCTTGTGGTTTCTGGGCTTCCAGATGAAGCGGAATCCTTTCACTGTCTACATCCTAAATCTGGCTGTTGCTGACTGCTCTCTGCTCCTCGTGTATTTCCTGTTCATACTGGGGTTTCTCAACACAACAATAATTTGTTATAATTTGGATTCTTTTTTTCCTTTCTTCTTTAAGTACATACGTGCAGTTCCTTTTCTGTGCCACTTGTTAGTCCTTAGCAGCCTGGGTCTCCTGACAGCCATCAGCACAGAGCGCTGTGGCTCTGTCATCTTCCCAATCTGGTATCGCTGCCACCGCCCAAAGCACTTGTCAGGCATCGTCAGTGGGGTGCTCTGGGCCAGCGTTGGGTCGTTCATTTTGTCCATTTATATTTCCTCTCGCTTTCGTCAAAGCCACACCATACTCTTTGCAAGTGTGGTCATTGTCTATTCTGTGATTTTGTCAGTAACGATGTTGATTTCCAACGTGTCCATGGTCATGAGGCTCCGATGTGGCTCACAGAGACGGCGCCTGGGGAAACTCTATATTGCTGTTGTGCTCAATGTCATCTTCTTCTTCGCCTTTGGGATGCCTTTCAGCGTAAATGCTTTCCTTCTACTTTTACATAATGGTATTTCCTTTAATGAAAGGGTGACTCTGGTGCTGGCTCTGCTGAACAGCAGCATCAACCCAGTCATTTACTTCCTGGTGGGGAGCTGCCGGCAGCGCCGCTTCCGAGGCTCCATCCAAGTTGCCCTGCGCAGAGTGTTTGAAGAGAAAGAGAGGAGCAAGGAGGAGAGCCCCGCGCCTGAGGGCATCCCCATGGAGAGCACTGCCCAAGGCCCTGCTGGGGAGGGGGAGGCCTGAGCTCTGCTCCCCATTGCAATGAGGCTCCTGGTCCTGACCCCACCAAATAAACTGTGTGTGCTTTGGCTGAGCAGCCGAGTGTTGTGGTGCTCTGGGGGAGCTGTTTGTGTGCGGAAGGTGTGAGAGGGCGGCCGTGGGGGAGCTGTGGCCGTGTCTCTGGTCCCAGCCAGGCAGGGCTCTGGCAAAGGGACTGCAGAGATGGGGAAGCCAAGGGGTTCTGTTGGGTGTTGATGGGATTTAGATTTGTTGGTTTAGAGGAGAAGACAAAGGGAAACATAGCAAATTGGAGAGTGAGAGAGAAAGGAACAAAGTGTGAGAGAAACTGAGACTTTAAGAAAGAGAGAATGCGGCACAGGAAAACACTACAGTTTGGAGAGTGATAGAGAGATGAAGAAGAAAAGAAGAACTGAAAGAAAAAAAGTGAGAGTTAGAGAAAGAATGGAAGGAAAGAAGGAAAAGGAAAAAATCAAGGAAAAGCTAAAAGAAAAGGCAAAAGTGAAGGCAAAAGGAAAAGCAAAAAGTAAGGGAAGGAAAGGCAAAGGAAAAATGATGGAAAACAAGTTAAGGCAAGGGAAGGAAAGAGAAAGGCAAAGGGAATAGCAAAGGGAAAGGCAAGGAAGGGGAAGAAAAGAAGAAGAAAGGCGAAGGAAGGGAAGGGAATTGAAGGAAAGACAGGGGCCTGGAAGAGAAAGTTAGGGAATGGAAGGCAAGGAATGGTAAGGAAAAAGAGAGGGAAAAGGGAAAGGCAAAGAGAACAACAAAGGGAATGGCAAAGGGAAGGAAAGGGAAGAAAAGAAGAGGGAAGGGAAAGGAATAGAAAGGAATAGGAAGAAATAGAAAGGAAGGGAAGGGAAGGGAATGGGGGAGGGGAAGGAAAGGTAATAAAAGAAGAGGAAAGGGAAAGGAATAGAAAGAAATAGAATGGAAGGGAAGGGAGGGAAGGGGAAGGAAAGGGGATGGGGAAGGGGAAGGGGATGGGGAAGAAGAAGGGGAAGCGGAAGGGAAGGAGAAAGGAAAGGAAAGGAAAGGAGAAAGGAAAGAAAAGAAAAAAGGAAAGGAAAGGAAAGGAAAGGAAAGGAAAGGAAAGGAAAGGAAAGGAAAGGAAAGGAAAGGAAAGGAAAGGAAAGGAAAGGAAAGGAAAGGAAAGGAAAGGAAAGGAGAAAGGAAAGAAAAGGAAAAAGAAAAGGAAAGGAGAAAGGAAAGGAAAGGAGAAAGGAAAGGAAAGGAGAAAGGGAAGGAAAGGAGAAAGGGAAGAAAAGGAGAAAGGGAAGGAAAGGAGAAAGGGAAGGAAAGGAGAAAGGAAAGTGGAAAGTAGAAATGAAGGAAAAGGGGTAATTGGAAGGGAACGAAGACACAAGGAAAGAATGAATGTGAGAGAGAGATGCAGAGAAACCAAAAGAGAAGGAGAAACTGCCCTGAGCAGGAGCCCCCGGCCCCACTGCTCGCCCACACCGTGGGCTCAGGGAACTACAAGGTCACATCCAGCCTGCGCCTGGTGCTGTTTGCACAGACATGTGCGGGGCTGATGCCTCTAGATGGCAGGAGAGGGGTTCTGATCACAAGGAGCATCTTTGCTTTTCTGCTCTGGTGTCCAAAGCATCGGTGAGCAGAGGCGGCCCTGGGCTCTCATCTGATGGAGAGGCACAAACCCAGGCCGGTCTGGGCTGCAGAGCTGGGCAGGAAGCAAGAGCATGTAATGCGCAGATAGACGCTACAACTAGTTAAAGTTGTAAAGTAGGTATGCTTTATTCAACGCTGAGGCACATGGGGGATAGCTCCTCCAAAGGCATGCGCACCTCAGCGTCATTCCCCCTTTACATTTCTCCTCTAAAGTTATGCATATGCATGAGGTTGCACAGCACGCCGATACATATTCATGTCCTACCCCTCCTGCTTCCTATTATAATGAGCTAAGAAGTCCTTTGTGCCTGCACGGTGCCTCCTAGTGGTCGTGGGCGAGGGTCTCTAGATGAAGTAAATGAGTGTTCCTCAAGCCTGAACGTTTCACTCTTAGTCATTACACATGCTTCCTGGAGGCTTGGTTACTGTCCAAAATGCAGAGACGGTTTCAGCTGGCATAGGCGTCCAAAGGATGGAAATCAAGTCACAGTCCCTACCTCTTAACAATAGCCACGTCCTTACATCTTGTTCTAGCATATACAGCGAGTACGATAAGCATGAACGAGTAGTACCATTGTTAAGCAAGCGGCTTTAATCTCCCCCCTTGTACATTGCAAGTACAATAAGCATAAGCAAGCAGTAACACTTAACCAAGCAGCTTGACCTACCCCCTGTACATCGGTTAAACCTTAGCATCACATGCTCCTTACTTGGGAATGTGCCGCACTCTTCAGTGGCAGGGTTCCATCCTCCTGAGCAAAGGATGGCATCAGCAGTGCCTCTGAGCAGCGCATTCCTGGCACTCACTGCTCGTGCCAGAGAGCTCACGCAAGGGCTGCTGTGCGCTGGGCTCCAGGGACCGTGGCTTTTGGCAGCAGGCTCCAGAGGGTTCTCACACCCCTGCTGGGGACTTTTGGGGCCTGCACAGCACAGTAAATGTCATGCCAAGTGCAAGGTCCTACACCTGGGTGGGAGCAATCCCAGGCACAGCTACAGGCTGGGCAGAGAAGAGATTCAGAGCAGCCCAAGGGGAAGGACTTGGGGGTGCTGGTCGATGAGAAAATGAACATGAGCCGGCTTCAGTGTGCGCTTGAGCCCAGAAACCAACCGTATCCTGGGCTGCATCCAAAGGAGCGTGACCAGCAGGTCCAAGGACGTGATCCTGCCCCTCTACTCTGCTCTCGTGAGACCTCACCTGGAGCATTGTGTGCAGTTCTGGTGTCCTCAGCATAAAAAGGACATGGATCTGTTGGAACAAGTCCAGAGGAGGCCACGAGGATGCTCAGGGGCTGGAGCAGCTCCTGTATGGAGACAGGCTGAGAAAGTTGGGGCTGTTCAGCCTGGAGAAGAGAAGGCTGCATGGAGACCTCAGAGCAGCTTCCAGTATCTGAAGGGGGCCTATAGGGATGCTGGGGAGGGACTCTTCATTAGGGACTGTAGTGATAGGACAAGGGGTAATGGGTTAAAACTTAAACAGGGGAAGTTTAGGTTGGATATAAGGAGGAAATTCTTTCCTGTTAGGGTGGTGAGGCACTGGAATAGGTTGTCCAGGGAGGTTGTGAATGCTCCATCCCTGGCAGTGTTCAAGGGCAGGTTGGATGAGGCCTTGGGTGATATGGTTTAGAGCGAGGTGTCCCTGCCCATGGCAGGGGGGTTGGAACTTGATGATCTTAAGGTCCTTTCCAACCCTAACTATTCTATGATTCTATGATTCTAAATGTCCCTGTCATGGGGCAGGGAATCTGCTCCAGCCCTGCTCCAGTCGGTCCTTGCAGGGAAACCAAGAGGGGGGGTTTAGGACATGTTCCCTTTTGCAATACCTCCGCAGAAGTTTTGTCCACAGGGACCAGAGCATCCCAAGGAAGGCTTCAGACTCCTTTGCTCTCCTTCAGCCAAGGCCATCACGCTCTGTCCTTCAAAGCTGGGAGGGGAGAAGGAGGGAGCTGTGCCTGCAGAAAAGGCACTGCATTTGGAGAGGAAATTTTACTGGTGAAGAGTGAGACAACACAGTGCAACTCGGGATGTGTGATGGCAAGGATCTGCTCTGTGATAGCAGAAAGAAGCTCAGCAGGCTCATGTCAGCTGCAGAGGCTGAGATGCGGACCTGCTGTGGCACAGCTCACCAGACATCCGCCAGACACAACTTAAAGCAAGCCCAAGGATCACCGGATCAGATGGTCTTGGCAAGTCAGAGGGACACTCGTTCCTCCATTCTCTTTGCCAACAGCAAATATTTCATTGTAACTCCACTGACACATGTCTGTGCCCAGGGCCAGTAAAAGCCTGAAATAAGGAAATGAACACGAGCTGATGCATGGGCCACTTTCTAATGTAGAAATCAGGAGCATCACACTTGTATTTGTGTGTACATTTGGTTCTCCAGCGCCAGCATGAGGAGGAAGCCTGGTGCTGTCACTCTGATCCTGGCCATGATCAGGAGCTGCTGAGCAGCTCTGCACAATTGTTTCAAAGCACACGAACAACCAGGGGAAAGCATCAACCAGCATGTGGCAGGGATCTGTGTTCACCACCCATTTCCCTGCCTCCTACCCTGTGGGAAGTTCTCCGTTCTTTCTCCACTGCTTTAGGTCATGGAACTACAGACTGGTTTGTGTTGGAAGGGAGCCTAAAGCTCATCCAGTTCCAACCCCTGACATGGGAAGGGGCACCTTCAGCTAGAGCAGGATGGATGATGCTCCAAGACCCATGCAACCTGTCCTTGAACAGTGCCAGGGATGGGGCAGCCACAGCTTTGTTTACTTCTTTACTTTTCCCTTTCTTTCTCCTTTCTTTCTGCCTTCCCTTTCTCCATTCTCCCACCCTCCCTTCCTTTCTCCCTCCCTTTCTTTCTCCCTTCCTTCCTTCTCTCTCTCTCCCTTTTTCCCTTCCTCCTTTCTTTCTTCTCCACTCCTTGCTCCCTCCAATTCTTCCTTCCTTCCTTCCTTCCTTCCTTCCTTCCTTCCTTCCTTCCTTCCTCCCTCCCTCCCTTTCTTTCTCTCTTTCTCTTTCTCTCTTTCTCTCTTTCTCTCTCTCTTTCTCTCTCTCTTTCATTCTCTCCATCTTTCTTTCTCTCTTTCTTTCTTCCTCTCTTCCTCTCTTTCTCTCTTTCCTGCTTGTTTCCTTCCTTGCTTTCTTGATTTCTTCTTTTCTTTATTTACCACTTCCTTGCTTCTTTCCTTGATTACTTATTGGCTTTGTCTCTTGCTTTCTTGCTTTTCTTTCTCTTTGTCTTTTCCTCTACCTATTTATTTTTCGCTCTTTTTTTCTCCCTTACTCACCAATTTGCAGGGTTTCCCTTTGCCTTCTCCTCTTAGAGAAGAGCTTCAGAGTAGCCCTGTAGAGAAGTACTTGCTTCAGTGTGCACTCGCAGCGCAGAAAACCAACTGTA